AACAACAACAACTTTTTAATTGTTATTTTAATGAAAGTTTAGAGAAAACTTGGATTTCTATTCATTCACTGTTGCATATTTTTCTACCTACCTACCCCCAGATAAAAAAAAAATCATTCATTGTTACATTATCTCCCCCACCCTCCACTCCTCACACACAGTCCACTTTACTATTCTGAACTGTTGTCGTGCAAATAATGCCTAATCATATATTCCTTTTAAACAGTTATTTCCTTCGTATTTTCCAACGAAATGTTCATTATTTATCCACATTTTTCTTAGTTTTTTCCCAACCCCTGTGGGGTTGTCCTGTTTTATAAGCATAGCATTATGTTGTATTTGTCGTTTTGTGACTGAGATATTTTATTCAGCATTGTGTCCTCCAGGGGCACCTATTACTTCTTCTGCAACTGGGCATTTTGCCATCCTTCTTAGACCATTCAATAAAGGTTTTTTTGTTTCTTGGGACCAGTTTTTTTCTCTCTTTCACCCTTGGCTCCTTTTCTAACAGCACCCATGTTGTATAATATTTTGAGTCCCTTGTTTTGTACTGCATTGTATTCCATTGTATGAATACACCATCGCTTCTCTGTCTATTCATTTATTGATGGGCTCTTGAGTTGCTTCCATCTCTTTGCTATTGTGAACAATGCAGTAATAAACATGGATGTGCATGTATCTATTTAAATGGCAGCTCTGATTTCTTCAGGGTCCTATTTCCAGTAGTGCAATTGCTGGGTCAAATGGTATTTCTATGTCACATGTGAAGTTGCCTGAGTTAGAAACTTGACACAGTGTGTGTGTTTATTTGTTTGGTTTTGACTTCCTTTCCAGAGTCCTTGTTGTTGTTATGTACTGTCAAGTCAGAACCAACCCATTGCTGACCCTCTAATGAGTTTTTAGGGGCAGCAGATTACCTGGGAGGATATTGCCTGTCTTTCTCCCACAGAGCAGCTGGTGTACTCGAACCACATTCCTTTGGGTTGACAACTCAGTTCTTTACCACTCAGCCACCAGAGCTCCCTTCCAGTGTCTAGGTAGTGCAAATGATTAATATGCTGAATTTATAATTGAAAGATTAGTGGGTTGAATC